GACCCACAGGGGTTTGCAAACCAGATGTTTCTCTAGAAGCAGTTTCTCACCTTGGCTGCACACAAACTGTACTACTTTAGGTTATCAAGACTGAAACATTTAAGCCAGTAAATCCACAGCTTGCATGATGTGTGGGCTCTGGGAGGTGGCCTGAGCCCAGCTGCTATCTAGACTTCCAAAACACAGTGAACAGAGAACACAAAGTTCTAGGTTGGAAGGGATCTGTGGAGTTCTTCATCTAATCCCTGCTCAAACCTTGGTGTCAGATCAACTTGCTCAGGGACTCACCCAGCCAAGGATGTCCTAGGCAATTCCATGCAGTGCCATGTACTGTATTATCCCACACTTCCAATACTGGTATTGGAAAGGGTATATTTAGCATCTTCCACATCTTACAGGACTTGCCCCTCAGTACGTACTTAGAAAAACACAGCAAGTTAATAACCAAAACAGGCTTCTTGAGAAATGCAAGATCTGGTTTTGTTCATCCTGAACTTTTCCTGGACCTCCCATTAGGTCCTACGCAAGGTCCAGCTCTGCTCTGCATATGTGAGCAATCACACTCCTGCAGATCTAGACCAGCTTTCTCTCACCTACTGTAGGTGCACAGTCTGGTTGATGGCCCAGGGACACAGCTGGACAGGCAGCAACAGAAATCATCTCTACCTTCACAAAGTGCTCCTCTTTCTTCTGTACAAATGTTCACATTTTCTAATTTCTCACAGAGCCCTTCGTCTACTTCACCATTTCTCTTTTGTGAAGACTGAACCTGTTGCAAAACTTGAAGCAGGACCTGCTTTGGGTTTTCAATGTTTTGTACAGTGAACTGCTCTCATTGGAGCCTTCTCTCCCCATGCAGTAGTTGTAAAGCATCTTTAAGTCACTTGTGCAGTGTAAACAGGAAAATTCCTCTACACACCATTGTGAAATAGGTTCTTCAGACTTTGAATTTGTCCACTTTTACAGTAGTCTTCCTAAACACATTACCTGGGCAGCAATGCTCAGTGACACCTGTCAGTCAGAGGCAGCTCCCCCTTCCCCAGTTCCCTACTGCTAAATGTCCCCTGAGCAATTATCCCATGAAACACAGGTACACTTTGATCTCTGACAGCAGCCAAACCTGTGCCAGCTCCTGCCAGCTCTGAAACACGACCTGCAGCCCACAGCATTGATTTGGGCCAGACCTGACCTCCCAGCTCTTCCCACACTCCCCTCCTGCCTTCAGGAACATTTTCCCCTGCCAGGACCTCACAGTAGAGCTTTGCCAGCACAGTGTGAGATACCCGGAGACTGAACTTCATCCTTTGCACTCTGGGTTTACAGGGTCCTTTAAACTTCTGGCTCCCAGTGACCTGCAGCATTACCTCCTTTTTCTTTGCAGCCATCCTGCTGCAGAACAGGGGCCCTGGGGGAGCTGACCCCAGCACCAAGCACTGCAGACGTCCCTGGTGTGTGGATCCGACTGCTGGCCAACCTGCACCACACAGAAAGTGTTTTACCTGCTCTGCTCCTCCCCCAGGACACGCTGCCCACGGCAGCACCCGAGTCCTGCTGGAAGGAGTGGGGGTGGCTCAGCAGTGCCCCAAACCTGGGCACAGCTCATACCTGCTTTGCCGGGACCAGGGGCTCCTGCAGGGCCTCAATTGCTGCGCACTCCCAGAGAGACAAGGGCCTGGGCCCTCTCCCTGGGAAGGTGGAAGAGGGCACAGGCCCCAGCACAGCAGTTGGCAGCACCCCAGTGCTGCCATGGCAGCACCCAACGCTGCCCAGCCTGCCCTGCTCCCTTCTCCGTGTCCACTCCCCCAGAAGTTCAGCTCAGTCTCCTCCCTAACTCCTCCTCGAGCAGCAGCTGCAGTTGGAGCCTTTCTGCCTCCACTCTGCCTGCCACACCTGCCCAGTGCCCACCACTCTCCCCCACATCCCTTCTCGACTCGGAGCTCAAAACTGGGCCAAGGATGGGCAAATGTGATCCCCACACACACAGCAGAGGAGAGAAGCTGCTGGTCGTGCTCCAAACACAGCTCAGCTCGGGAAGGTTGGCTGTTCTCCTTTGCAGGGAGAGCAGTGCCTGTGCCCAGCACTGCCCACCTGGGCAGTGCTGTTCCTGAGCCTGGGCTCACTGTGCTTCAGGGACAGACCGTGGTGTGCTGCCTGTTAGCACACAGCACACAATGGCTGAAGCTCTGCTCCTGCAGCTGGTCACAGTCCCTCCCAGCTGAGGATTCAATTTTTGGTACCTGAATGCCCCTAGTGCCCCTGGGGCCACTGCCCAGTGCCTGCAGGGACACAGCCTTGGCAGGGCTCCCCTGCCTCCAGCAGCAGCTCAGCAGAGCAAACTGCACCCCTGGCCACCCCCAGCAGGTCTCTTCTAGCAGAAACCACCTGCAGAAGAGCCCTGATTATTTTGTGCACCACTGCCATTCTGCACACTGACACCCCTCGTGCTCCCATCTCAGAATTACCAAACACAGCCCTTTTAAACCCGTTTTCTACTCTTCAAGAACCTGATTTCATGCACCTCAGTTATTCCTCTGCCTGATGTGTCACTGCTTCAGCAGTTTTGTGGAGGTACAGCATCTACTGCAATGGGCAAAGCCTGCAAAAATGAATTTTATAAAACAGGAGCTGTTTGCTGTAAGAATATCCTGGCTCGAGCTGTTTTGAGGAGGTCACTTCACTTCTTTCACGACTACAGCACGAATTTATGACAGGAGCAGGAGCCAAATGATGTCCTGTGATTTTCAGTGGGAGAGGCAGTCCAAACGTGTGGTGAAGGTGGTGGGAGCAGCCAAGGGTCCCACTGGTCTGACAGCCAGTGTGCCAAATTCTGTGCTGAACTCTTCGCTTGGCTGACACATGGAACCTCGGCAAGGACTCCCAGCACAGACACACAGAACGCACACACTTAGTGAAACTCATCAGGATGGGTTTTCAGCAAAGAAACGGCACGAGAACAGCAGAAATCCTGGTGACTCCTTTTATGTCCACACAAACCTTGCTTTGGTTCTGCAAGCGACCCTGGAATTCCCAAGATGCTGCTGCCTCAGGAAGTTGGGAAGGATCTGGGTGAGCAGCAAGGTCTGTTCCCACTGTGAAAATCAGACTGTAGAGAAGCTGCCACAGAGCTGGTATTTCTCCAGGAAGCTGAGAAAAATCTAGATGTTCTGGCAAAGTTCTTTTTATTTACAGTATTCTTCTTTTTGTACATACCTATAGCAACATCCAAAATTATTCACAAAGCTTAACCGAATGTAAAAACATTCTCATCCAACAGTTTGTCCTATCAACACCTGTGGAGAATGTCAACTGTTCTCATGCAGCAACACGATTGTCTAAGCATTGGCTTTTAGTTTTTCTGGCAGAATCTTAGGAAACCACCTCCAAACTTGCACAGAGATACTGACTCACCTGTTTTCTGAACATCTTTAGGCACCAAAGTTCTACAGAACTTTGCTTTTAGAACCATGAGTTGGGAGAGGATGAGAAGAGATAACGCAAGACCTCGAGCTCCCAAACACACACAGAGAGCAAGAGGAGCAGTCAGGGCACACTGCACAGCTCTGCACTCACAGGATCTGTCTCAGAACCTCCTGCTCAGTTCCAGCAAAAATAAATTTTACTGAGTTTCATGAACAAACTTCACTTCTGAGGTACGGAGCTTTACCAAGTTATCATACAATTTTACTTCCCCTTTCGTTCAACCCGCAAAGTCCATCATGAAACATCTGCAGAAGGACGTTAAAAAACTGCCAGTCACTTACTGCAATGCCTGGGGAAAAAGTGTCAGGTGCTCACTTTTATTTGTCTTTGAGAGTGGAAGAAGTTACATGAAACGCAGATATTCTCCTTTGCAACCAAGTGGTAACAGTTATCTGATACACAGCACATTAAAATTCCAGGCCACACTGTGGTCACATTTTCCAACACAAGCAGTTACCTTGGAAAAAAGTAAGGCTTATCACAATTTGACCTTCTGATTAGAAATGAAAGATTAAGATACTTATCAAAATTGGCTAGCAAAGTCACAGACCTCTCTCCTTGCTGCAGCTCTCCTGAAGATCAGTGTTAGACCAGAAAGACCTGGTAGGAGACATTGGCTGCAGCCTTCAGTGCCTGTTAGTGCTACGTAAATACTGTGTGTGGAGAGTCTGACTGCTCACTGGGGCCTGAACTGAAAGCAGAACGGAGAGCTGGGGAGGGCATGAGAACCTGTGCTGCCCTGAGGAGCCTCCCTGCTGCCCTGGCTGTTTGCAGGCAAGCCTGGCTGGGACACCATGGCTCTGCCTCTCCAGCCTAACCTCACACAGTCCTCTGCTCTGCACTCCTGTTTCTGCCCACACTGCCAGGCACAGCCTCAGGAGTGCATGGCCAGGCAGGGCCTGTACACAGCTTGGCACCTACACCCACACATGGTGCACACCTGCACATGGACAGAAATCCTGCAGCACCACTGCTGAGCTAGAAACCAAACCAAAGCCAACCCCCCACTTTTCCCATCCCTTCCCCAACTCAAAGCACCCTGCTCACCTTTAGTGGAAAAAACTGGTAAGTCACTTAACTCTTTGTGGAGGTGAAGGATGCAAAACAAAAGCAGTTCCTCTATCACTGCTTGCCAGCTCCCTCTGGGCTCTGCACAGTATACCACAGTCTGCTCTGCTGACAGCAGTGCTCAGCAAATCCCTCTCTGCAGCCAATCCTTCAGCAGTTAGCTGAGCAAGTTCCTGGCTAGGGAAGCAACAGCCTGTGCCTGCAGCCACCTGCTCCTTGCCAGAGAAGCCAACAGTCATGCCAGCTCTGAAGTATGAGCTTTCCTTCTCAAACTGTAAAGAAATCGAAGCCCAATCCAGCTGACTGGAGCAGATAATCGGTACCAGGTGACCTCATACTGTGGCAAAAACCTCTTGGACCTTGTCAGTACACAATGTGCTGCTTGTAATTTGGGGTCTCCTGCCTCCCTCTGTTTTTCTCTTTCAGAAGGAAGTATAATGTGAGTTAAGCTTAAGTTCAGAAATGCATATATTTTACTTAAAAACATTCATCTGTTCAAAATTCAAAATAAACTTTATGGGATACAACAGTTTGGTTTCTTTTTTAAATAACATTTCATTAAACTGTATATAATTCATTGAAGTATTCGTACAGCAAACAATGGTTAACCCTTGAAAACCTGTAGAAAAAGATTTTCACACACAAAAAAAAAGAAAACCAAAACAGAGGTCTCACACCCACCCACACTCACCCAAGCACACACTCACCCGAGCACACCCACACACACCCACACAGGCTGCAGCAAAAAGCAGAAAATTGTAGGCCCAAAAGGAAAACAATGACTGATTGTTCTATCCAAAGTCCAGGTAGCTCAGGATAAAAAAAAAACCAAAAAACCAAAACAACCCCCCAGAGTCCTCTGAGTAAAGAAACTACCTCAAGAAAGTTCTCAAGTGCACCGGAGACCTGATCATTTGAACTGTTTCTGCAAAGCAGCTCCCTGCACCTGAGAAAATGCAGCCCAAGGTGACTTGTGCAAATTTAAGGAGTCAGGATATCTCCTGCTGTTCCTTAAGTAGACATGAGGGGTGTCCATAGCTTCAGTTAGCCTTTGATCATGCAAGGTACTGCTGGAGTGCTGTCTTCGCCCTGCAAGGAGAACAACCTGTTAGCTGCTGCACCTGGCGAGGCAGCAGGGAGGGAGGCTGGGGCAGGTGGAAGGGCCTGACTCCCTCAGCCACGAACAG